TGTCTTAATAAAAATTATAGGCGGTGTTTGAAAATTTTCAAGTAAAAAAAGGTGGCTGACAAAGCCCACGAATACGTGGGAATAGTTGGCGCCAACTACCGGAAACATGTCCCATTTTACAGTTGAAAGTTTCAGAAAGTACTTTTTTAACAAGGTAACTGTTAGCTATGAAACACTGACATCTGGTCCGCACCGCTAGTACTACATTTGGGTGGAGACACAGCCTTCGGCGATGCGTAGTTATTATTTTGCAATAAAAAAAACGCTACTTTTTTTTTTTTTTTTTTTTTGGTGAGGCGGTGTGTTTCAGTAGACGCACAAGCGTGCGGGCTATCGCCTTTCTCTTTCATCCTCGCGAGCCATCCGGGTTAACATTCCTGCGCAAACAAAGGTCACTAGAAGAACGCGGCAAGGAAATGTGTGCCATTTCACAAGGATTGCGTTTGACTTCTGCATTTCAGCGAAACGTAAGTTTCAAGATCGCGTTGCCATCTGCCAATAGCACGGCCGGTTTGACGGTTTGACTGTGTGAGTAAAAACAGTCAAGCATTTCACGGAGCGTGTCATTTCTCGAAGGCTGTTACAAGGAAAAAACGGCAGTCTGATACTTTAGACCCATGTTACGGATTAAAAAAAGAAACACAAGGCGCGGGATGGCCAAGAAACCCGCCAGTCCACGCAAGTACACCGCAGACGAACTGAGGGAGCGGAATAACGCGGCACAACGATCCGGGAGGCAGGCAGCGAAGGGAGGCGCTCGCTTGATCGAATGACGTTTTAGCGAACGTCCACGTTTCATCGAACGACACTTTAGCGAATAGTCGGACGCCGCGAAGCGGCGTTTTCGGGTGGGCCAAGTGAGTTCATATTTTTGTAATGAGTTGCCGTAGACTGTCGCCGCGAAGCGGCGTAAAGCGCAGCGCGACGGATGGGTTAACGCGCGCCCCCGTTATTCGCTAAAACGACCATTCGCTCAAATGTCGCCGTTCGCTAAAATGTCATTCGCTCTTGTGATATGAACCCGAGACAGAACAAAGCCTTTCGAAAGCGTGAGGCGCAGGCGGATCGCGATTCAAAGCGTCTCAGGCGGCAAGAGGACGAGGCCCTTCGACAACGCGAGGTGGAAGCAATACGTCGCAGGCGGCATGCTTTCGCATTCACAACTCATATAGTGTCCTAGAACGTTCTTTTCCCACGGTCTGTTTAAAACAATAATAACAAAAATAAACTTCAAGAGGACAACTGGCAGCACCCGAAGACATTGTACAAAAAGGCAATATAAAATTCGATTTAATCGGAGTGATTATTACAAGCTCACTTGATTGAGCGTCGCACTACTTATAGCACGTTGGTCGAGCTTTTTTTTTTTTTTTTTTAATTCTGTGTGATGCTGAAGAACGGAAAAAAAAAAAAAAAAAAAAAACACATTTGGACGCCAGAAATTGGCCAAACTCAACGCCGCAAGACAATCGAAAGGGCCAAATTCATGACACCACCGCTAGGGTACGCGTCTCTTATTGCTGGGTGCTGACGTCAAAACAACTGTGTCACGCCGCTTTCATTTTTCTTTTCTTTTTCATGTCTACTTTGGAACGCGTGAAACGGCATCTTTTGTCTCACGCTCTTAGCGTCTTAGCTTTGACGGCGTTCGAATTTTTGTTGTTTCTTTGTATTTTCATCGTGATCTCGCGCTCTGCACCAGAGCAGACACGCTTCTGCATGCGTGACAGTTTGAGACGCTAAAGTTTGTACTACCCAAAACAATTCCTAACAAGTCTCTTTTTGCAGAAGAGACTTGTGCAGAAGAGACTGGCTTGTGTGCGTTTCAACGCACATTAACCAGCACTGAAATGCGAAAACCAGCCGCAAGGCAGCAGAAGCCTAGCAAAGCAACGCGCCAACCGGGCAAAAAAAAAGCTAGAATATATATATTTATAACTCTAGGTGGCGCAAGCTACCGCCCATCCATCCAACCATAATGGCGCTGCCGTGCAGTTTCGGTTTTGGTTTCACTGTGCCGCCATGTTGATTTTAGTACAGCCACCAGATACCAGGGGATTCAAATGGCGCTGCGGCCTCCCAGGGTTTTCCAATGGACCTTTTCCGGGAAGCGTTCCGCGCACGCGCGAGCGCCCGATGCCAAGCGGTGGAAGTCGGCACGAACTGCGCGGGTTGTTTGAGCAGTGGGCTGCTCAAACAACCCGCTGCGTAACCCGGAGGCGCTTTTTCACAAGTTTTCAACGGACCGGAAATTGGAGAAAATGCGGGTGAATGTTGTTCGACGAGCGGACTTTGGCTTTTACGCGCCCAAGGAAAAAAGAACGGAAAAGTGAAACCCGTTTACAACTCCCTGTAACGCCGAATTGGAGTGCAGCACTTGAGGAGGAGGAAAGGGTACTGAGGGTAGGGTAGACCCCTCTTCCTCCACCTCTCATTCTTTAATATGCTCCGGGGGGGGGGGGCCGCCTGACCTTGGAGGGAGGGGGCCACGTGACCTCGGGGGGTCATGTGCCCCTTGGGGGGTCACGTGACCTTGGAAGGGGTCACGTGAGATTGGGAGGGGTCAAGTGACCTTGGGGGGTCATGTGACCTTGGTTACGCCGACGGCGACGCCGCTCAAGCCGGAAACGGGCGCCTAAGAGCTGTGCTCTAAAAACAGACGTGTACAGCCCAGCACACGTGTGTTCGGGTGCTGCGGTCCACACCGGAGAGCCTCAAAGCTTCGCGTCTGGGACTGACTCGCAGCACGAAAGCGAGAAGGCCCCCAGTACTGCACGTTCGTCACTGGCAGCGCGGCGTGGAGGAACGCAGCTCCATCCACGGAGCCCCGATGACAATTTAGGCCTAGCGACGAGTATGGAAGACCGCACGCACGGCGACAGCTGCCGAGTACGACACCGAACGAGTTCACTCATTTTCCAGTCGCTAGCGTTTTGGGTATACAAGCGACGAGTACGGCATAGCACACGCACGGCGGCGGCCGCCGAGTACGGCACCGAACGAGTTCACGGGTTTTCCAGTCGCTAGCTTTTGGGTATACCCACTCACTCTTGCTACACATGCCGGATAACTACCACGTATACAGAATTAAAACAAAATCAGCTTACCTCCTATCTTTAGACAGCTAGCGCAACAGAGGAAGGTGCCGCTCGGCCTGCATACTCGTTGAACGAGAACGATCCTGACGTCATGTTCACTAGCGGCTGATTTCCAGTGTCGCCGGGTCCTCGAGCGGTTAGTTTCGGCTTTGTTGGCCGCACCCCAAACAAAACTTTGAAACGTCGATATCTTTAAAACTACGCACAATAACGGGAAAAAGAAATTACACTTTGCAATTCAGGGACGCCTGACTGTACTAAAAACAGTCATAATCCCAAAATCAAAAGTATGGACCGGAGTTGCCCTAGAAACCGAATTTTGCTGTCAATTTTAAAGAGCCTGGCCTCTCCTTGAATCACCCTGTAGTTACTCCAGCCTCCAGTCCCTCAATGCGCCAGAATGTTGTTATGGTAAATGTAGTGTATTCTATAGAATAGGCATGTTCCGAAGCACATAGTCTAAATGGCATTTTACCGTACCCTGTGGAACACAGTTTTGAAACGGAAATTGAGATGGCGCTTCAGACGGAAATTGGCCTGAAGTGAGTGGGGGAGGGGCGGGCGGGAGAAGTGACCCCCTCAGCAGAAGTTCCACAACTTAAGTAATCTAGTAATGTTGACTGTGGGCTGGACGATGTGATGGCAGTGCACGATGGAACAATCTTGCAACGGACGTGAGATCGCTACTTCGGAACTGTCGTTTGCTGTAGCGGTCAATCTATTTTCAAGCACAGCAACAGCAAAACAATCGCACGGCAAACAGTGCATGCAGTCATCGTCGTCATTGTCCGCTTCACACACCAGAAAAGCGGAGTAACGGAACAAAAACTGTATAAAGCGATAGCCTTTTGACGTCCGGCAGCCCTCTCCTACTCCCGAGTACATTTAGTTGGCCATGACTCTCCGTGCTCATGTATTGATTTTGGAGCAGATGCAGTTTTTTTCTTCATTAGAAAAATAAGCTAATCTACAGCAAAATATTGAGTGGCTAGTGTCCTGACACCATTATAAATTTTCTAGCAAAAAATATAAAAGATTTTTTTAGAGGGATGTCACTGCTTTTTTAAGAGTTTAGGAGAAACTCCTCCCACGTCTTTCCACTTTAGTATAGACCAAACACTGGAGAAGAGGCGACCCTCTCTACAGCATTTGCTCCGCTAGAGTGGAAAGAGGTGGGAGAGACTCCCCTAAACTCTTAACCCAGAGATGGGAGGAGCTTCCCCCCCGAGCTCTAGACCTGCCACCGAATATAGGGATGTTGTGAACCTGCCAAGGTCTGAGTTTGACCTTTTCAAACTTCTAACAAAAAGTTTGACACAAGTTCAACCGAAGTTTAATTTTCGTGCATGCGCAAGTACAGGGTGTCACAAAAGAAAATTTACACGGTCCTTTTTACCGCAAAAATAAACTAGGCATCGCCGAATGCTCATTCTCCGCCCGAAGGTAGAGCTAGAGGTCACAGCCAGATGCCAAAGTTTCAGCCTGATCCGATAACTTAATCAAAAGTTATAAGTGATTTTCTGAAAATTTCAATGAAAAAAAGGCGGCCGACGGAGTTTTCAAACACATGGGGCTCTATGGCACCAGAAACCGAAAACGGGCAAAAATGGGCTCCATCTTCCCATTGAAATTTTCAGATAATCACTTATAACTTTTTATTAAGTTATTGGATCGGGCTGAAACTTTGGAATCTGGTTGTGACCTCTAGCTCTACCATGGGACGGAGAATGAGCGTTCGGCGGTGCTTAGTTTATTTTTGCGGTAAAAAAGAATGTGTAAATTTTCTTTGGCGACACCCTGTATTTGGAAATAAGCCAACGCCACCAGGCAGAAGCAAAAGTGCGATAATTTTTGGTTCCCTGTCTGCCCGTAACTTGTTCCAAATACAAAAATGATCCTATATAGTTTGCAATTTCCTTTCGCAATATGATAAGCTTTTTATTCCAAGGCGGAAAAAGACAATTGAAAGGACAAAACACAAAGTGAAGAGCGTCACTGTTCCGAAGGTACTCGAAGCCCGGTCACCTAGACACAAACCCGTGATCGGTGAGGCCCTGAGGGGAGCTGTGGCCAATGAGGGGTTGCTGATGGGGGGACCCTTCGCAACAGCTGCCAAACGCCGGGTGACCTTGCTGCATCACCAGCTGCTGAGCACCAGGATACTGTTCGGCGAGTTGCACAAACCCATTGGTAGGAAAACCCTGGCGGTCAACTCCTTCGGCATCCACGGGCGAAGGCACCGGAGCGAACAGGTATGTGTGGCAGCTCTGCGGTCCGTCCGAGTTCGAAGGACACGACACTGAGTCGATCGTGTTTGGCTCCGTGCTGCCCGACGCCGGGCACGCACGCTGCTGGAAATGGGTGGGAGAGAGCGTCCCCTGCACATACTCATTGGGACGCGAGTATGCGTGCGGCGCGACAGACTGGCCGCAAAAGTCCCGGTCAAATGCCGAGCACTGGCAGGAGCAGCGTTCAGCCCGTCGAGCCTGCCACGGGTCGTTGCATTCGACACCAGCAGCAGCCGAACCGCATTGGTGACCGTCGAGGTCGCTCGGTGGACAAACGTCGTCGACGACCTCGTTGCCGAAAACGTGCAACGGGAGGGGCTGGTAGGAGCCCTGGCATCGTGGAGAAACGCTTTGGGATTGCGGAGTCGTCCGCAAGACCGCCCTAGGGGCCGGCACCGCCGGAGACCCGCTCGGAGGAGACGCGGAGCCAAACCTCTTCAAAGGGGTGGTGTTCTTCGAAGCCCTCGAAGTCTGCTGGACCGGAGGAGACTTCGAGAGTCGTGCCTTGGACGCAGCCGACACGTTCGACCGACGTGACTGCCCGGACTTGATCTCTCGCATCTCGATCTCTTCGACGGTCGCCGGCTCGGCCGCGGAGGTCCCGGGGGTGGGGGCGGCCTCGGCCCCCTGCTCCGTCTGTGTCTCCCGGCTGGTGCGCGGCCTTGGGGACATGGCGGCCAGCTCGGCGATGAGCCTTTGCCTCTCCTCGACCGCGAGCCGTGCCGAGAGCAGCTCCGGGCTGCGGAGCCCCACGTCCGTGAACTCCGAGTCCGACGTGACGATGGGCACGAAGCCGGACTCACTCATGCTGTCGGGCATCGGGTGCAACGGGATCAGCGGGGTGTGCCTGGGGTCCAGGTCCGGGTACGAGGCAAAGCCCTGTCCGTAGGGGAACACGCCCGGGTAGAAGGGAAAGCCCCCGTAGAAGGCGGGCGGGTAGCCATAGGGCAGGACGTCCGCGGGAGGCATGCGCAGGGCGCTCAAGTAGCCCATGTACGCCGCGTACGGGTTGGGTACTGCGGCGAAGGGGCCTACCAGTCCCGGCATCCCACCTGCGGGTGCCCCTTGGGCATTGGAGGTGTCGTTGGGACTGGCTGTTGGGGCAGCGGCGCTAGCAGACGGCGCTACGTCGGTTGCGGTGCTCGCGGCGCGCCGTGTCGACGCACGGGTCGCGCTTGCGTCTGACATGCCGTGCGTGAACGGGGGGTCAATGAGGACCCGGTCTCTCTTGACGGGGGGCCGTCCGAGCGACAGGTAGTTGTGTGGGATGACGGAGCCGGGGTTCAGGTCGCCAGTGCTCGTGGCCCTGGCCACGAGGGAGGCCCTGGGGGCGAAGGGGGCGCGGGGCCGCATGCTCTGGAGCGTGGCGGCCAGGCTCTGGGCGGAGGAGTCGCTCCCGCGCCGCAGGGACAGCACCGGGAAAGGGGACTGGCAGAGACCTGCCGGGCGCTCACGCTCGCGGCGCGTCTTGCGGCGCTGGTGCCGCAGCCACTGCTTCTCCGCGGCCAGCTGGTGGTAGCTGGCCTGGGAGTCCAGCGACTGGCGGCGCACGCTCATCGACAGCTGCCGGCTCACATCTGCACAGAGCAAGAGCTGCTGGTACTCGGTGACACGACGGCTCCGAGCAAATGGTCGACGCTAAAAGTAGAGTGCGGGATAAAATGTAGAATGTTTTGTACTTCCGTCGGTCTTACACTTAAACCGTGGCTTATGCCTTTCTCAGCAGATCGTTTTTACTAGTGATGGGCCAAACTTTTGCCGAATCGAAAATTCGGCGTCGACTCTTCAAGTTCGGCAAAGCCAAACTTTTGTCGAAATTTCTAAAGATTCGGCAAAAATGCATAGTTGCCAGACTTAACATTGATATTTCATTTTTTTCTTGCAAAAAAACGTTTTACGTTTTGTTTTTCTTAACTTAAATAAAACATGTAATGCATAATGACACATTTATAACTAGATAAGGCAATATTCCACAAGATAATTGTATCGGTGCCATTTTTGTGTGTTTACTGGCAAATTTACAGTGACTTTTTGCAGAAGTGGCGTGACGACGAGGTTGGGTAGTAGCGAGTGCGGTCACGAATCACGCTACAAGAGTTTTTGTTTTGAGGCCTCATCAGCCCAAACCTGCAAGTGTGTGTACATTGATAAAATAAAGGATATTAGAGTGAAGACGCAGGTGAGCTGGTGACAAATCAGAGAAGAAAAACCCAGAGACAAGGAGCTAAAAAGGACAAGAACAGAACTGTCTCAGGTCTGAAACTGTGTAGTGCTTGTCCTTTTTAGCTCCTCGTCTCTGGGGTTTTCTACTATGTTAAAATAAAGGCAATAACACTGCGTTCTTACTTTCTATGAGTCACCGTCTCGTGCGCGAATAGGAATGCAACGATTGCTGAGGCTTTACCAGCAGAGATAACAATATTATTGTAAATAATATTGTTATCTCGCCCCCCTCCAGTCCGCCCTGGGCCGGTGCGCTCTTCCTTAGGCGACCTGGCAGCATCGGGCTCCCCCGCGCCCGCCATATCGAAGCCCCGCTTAGCGCGGACGCCCTGTCGGCACGGACACAGCCGGGGTTGAGGCCCCGCGCCGCGTCCGTGCCGACAGGGCGTCCGCGCTAAGCTGGGCGTCGATATGGCGGGCCCGGGGGAGCCCGATGCTGCCAGGTCGCCTAAGGAAGAGCGCACCGGCCCAGGGCGGACTGGAGGGGGGCGCTACATACTTGTTATAGGTAGAGTTAGGAATGTCGGATGCGCAACGTTGAGCATGCATAAAACTAAACACAGAACTATAGTTCTGTGTTTAGTTTTATGCAGATGCATGAAAACCGCGACATATCGCTAATTAAAACGCAATATTTTGTTTTGGTACAAACTACTTGCGAGCCGAAAAGAGGATTGTTCTAATTGCAAGGAGTGCTTTAAAGTAATTGTTAGTCAATGTTTCAACTACTTCGTTGCATCACTGGAAATGTCAAATAAAAATCACGTCATCCAGAACGTACCACATCATTTGTCACTCGGGCAGCAGACTGCGTAAATTACTGGTAAATTATCTCTTTTCGAGGTAGAAAAAACGTGAAGAAAACCACACTTGCAAAGGCTCGCAAACACACAGTTACCATGTTGTCTACTCCACACCTTGCCGCAACCGCTGGTCGTACTATACCGTACGATGGTAACCGCACAACCGCACGGCATTCATTTCCAATCCATGGCCCCGTCGCATTCTTACGTGTGCTCAGACATTCGCCGAATCTTTGACAAACTCTCCTTCAAAAGTTCGGCATGTGCCGAACTTTGCCGAATCTGAAGTTCGGCAGATTCGGTCCATCACTAGTTTTTACGGTCCTCTCGGCACGAGCTAGTGACACGCGCATGGAAAGCATCAATTTAGCTATTTCGGAGTCGAGGGTGAGGTTGGCTCACATTTCTATAAATGCAGCGAGAGCAAGCTTATTGCTTTCAAATATGGTTCCGATATAAATACAAGCACTTGTGTAACAGTCTAATACGGTGGTTCTCAACCACTGCTTCTGCGACCCTTCTAGATTGGCGGAAGTGACGGCGAACCCCATCGACCAGTTGAGAGGGGGGGGCGGGGAGGGGGGTATTCGACGGTCACCGTGACAAAAGAGTAAATGAAAGAAACTAAACGTGTGAGAACCATTCAAAGCCCTGAAATGAAGAATAATCGACCCCACTCACACGGCGCGCATGGTTTGTTCCGTTTGCTTTGTGCAACAACCAGCATCAATAAAAAGACAGTTTTATTGCTCCGCTCGACCGACGGCGGAAGGCTTTGAAGACCCCAAGAAGGCCTTCGTGCACCCCAAAGGGTCCGTGAACCCTTATTTTAGAACCACCAGTCTAAAGCTCGCGTTCGGAGCCTTTGCAAAATAGAGACCAAGGTAGCGATGGGGACAGACATTTGCGCAGAGCAAGGTTTCCAGGGTGATGTCCACGAGAACTGCATTAGGAACGTACCGGAAGTGGAGGAGTATCGGCGCACGGGCAGTGCCCCCGCACCTGCCACAGCACCCCTCCGGGTCAGGAAGCTGGGCAGGGCCGCCGCCCACGTCGACGACAAGTCCTGGGACGTCACGCTGTTGACGTCCAGGTTCATGCCTGCACGGACGACGAACGGGACTGACGTCGGAGGAGGACCCCTAGACCCCTAACAATGGAACAAGATGGCCTCCAGGGCCCATAAGAATCCAGAAAACTGTTTGCGCATAATAATGAAGGTACACAAATTTTGCCAACATCTCAACAAAGCCACAATCATGACGGCTGAATCTTACAGCTGAGCAGCGAAGGTCTACCCAGAGTGCATGGAAGTGGTTTGGCTGCCCACCAGTCTCGCTGACTGCCTCTCTCTTCTACGTCCAGCCCACCTCTATAGTTTGCCTTCACCGGACAAGACAATGCTTATTTTGAAAATGCACGATGCCCCACACTGTCACGTTTGGCAGACTTGCGCTGAACTATGCGACAGAACTGTACAGTCCCCGTGAACAAAAACACTGTTGCGCAGCAAAGAAAGTGGCGAAAACACCAGAAGTTGCAGCAATCACCACCTCCTCCTTCCAAAACACACTGGAAATCGTCAGATGTCCACATCTCAGACATTTCTGGGGAGAACCCTAGTTACGAAGGGGGGTCGTTGATGTAGATGATGTTTGGCCACTTGCAACAAGGGGCCTGATGGCGAACATGTTGCGAAGTGAAGTTCAGTCAGGTGGTACAAGACTTTAACTTAGATAGATTTATTTAACATAGTACGTTCACAGTTGTGGGCGTGACCAGACGTCGCCGCCCGACACTTTACGTCCTCCAAACCCCCGACAAGGGACCTAACCCCCACCCAGCTCGATCTGTCTCAAAAAGCCTCTTCTCATCCTTTGCCCCTCCGTTTTAAAGTCGGAGTCAGGTTCCCTCTCCCAATCGTCCGAACCAATCGCCCAGTTTCCCACGCGATTTTCTTTCTGGTAGATGGTTGGTCCTAAAAGCACACAAGCAGAACAACAACATGCTGTCGTCTCAAACGGATAACCAAAATAAAACACACAAAGACCCCACGTTTTCTTCGACGGTCATTACAAGAAGCTGCCGTGAAGATAGGCGCACCCACGAACCCGGCCCGCTCATACAATGAAAGCAAAGCCGACATGTTCAACACCGTTTACTACCCAAGAAGCCCCATCCAGCAGCCACCCGTAGAAGTGCATCCCATTGTCCCGGCTCCTTAATTAGGCAGACGCCCGCTCGAGACACCCGTGAAAGCAACATTCCTGCGACACTCCCTCATTCCTGGTCAGGCCTCCGTCTTCCCCCGCCGCCCGGGGTGATCCTTCCGACGACACAGTTGCGCTTTGACCCAAACCGACCAAAAAAGAATGAATAATATGCCTATACCTAATTACCCTGTTGATCGGGTCGACCAAAATTAAGCTGCAAAGAATGTAACTGCGCCGTCGCTAACTAGTACGAAAAATCCTCTCGACTTGGAAAGTGCCCCTGCACCTCGCCGAACCCATGGAAGCCAACCCACCAACAGGGTCGTCGTGAGCGCCGTGGAAGCTGACGGAGCCCTGGCCCCGGTTGAGCTCGTTGCGTCTCGCAAAAGCCTCGGCGATCAGCTTGTGGCGCTGCAGCTTGACCGGCTCGTCCAATGGCCGGCGCAGGATCGTCCTGCAAGGCAGGGGGGGGTGAGGGTCTCCGGAAACGCGGCGCTCCGGGGTCACTTTTAAGGTATGGTTCGCGACTGGTTACGACCTCTTCCACAGTTGTTGCTGCTAGTTTTCATGCCCCAGTCTTGGGTAATTCATCGGTACGACCGTCTACCTAAAAATCACTTAGAATTCGTGACAACCAAGAAAAGATGCCATCTATTGGGTAACACTCACCAGTTTCTGGAAATTCTTTTTTATTTTTTTGTGCATCTTTTTTTTTTCAAAAGCTTTTGGCAGTAGCTTCCTTCGATTTACCTGCACCGGTGCAGAAAGGTGTAGGGCACTGTACTTCCGGTATATGATTTGAGATACAAACGAAAGTACACCGCCCTACACTTTTCTGCACCGGTTCGATTTACCTGCACCGGAGGCACAGGTAAATCGAACGAAGAACGAAGCTAGTGTTACAAATGACTATTGCTCATAGATACTAGTACACACATTCAATCTCACAAATACCGCCAAACCTTCACTCTAGTGAAATCCATTTCCAGGGTCACCTCGTAGATGGCACCAGTGTGCCAGTCTGTTCTCTCTCGTCGTAAGAGAGCGCAAGAGATCCTTCCAAAGAAAGCGCGAGTGTGTGAACGGGCCTTAACCCGTCAGCACGATGGGTACGACATGGCGCGAGCTTCTTCGAAAGCAGCAAGTGCAGCTCATTACCTTTAAAAGTGCTTTGGCCGTGCAAGCGAGAGCACTGCGGAACCGTCCGATGAGTCGCACTCATAGGCTACGCCGGCTGGGCCGGAGTCAACTTTACTAGAACAACTCAGGTGGGAAACTGCCACAGCAGCATGTTTTGAAAAAGCAGCTCCGACCCGTACTCAAGAACTGAACTAGACGCGATCGCAACGCCGCCATTTCTTCTGCAGCGGCCACACCGGGAATTGCATGGCCGGACGTGCCGGATCGGTTGAGTCGTACATGGGCCGGTGGCGCCATCTCGCAGGGCCATCTTGCAGTAGCTATATAAAGCAACTTCCGTGTTTCGACTCGCCGTTCAAGGGTGGCACTGTAATCATATCTAGTTCGCTCTCCGTGGATGCGAGCAATCTGGACTTTACCTTTGCGGTCAGATACTCTGACCGACTGGTCAATCTGGTCAGGAATTATTTTGGATGCATAAGCCCCGGAAAAGTAAAATTATTTCGGCATACTAAGGTAACGTCTCACACTGAATGTAAAAACAGAAAAGTCCGGGAGATTGTTTGTGTACAAACTCTGGAACGATGTTTGTGGCAGAGCGGCTCCGCGGCTGCTGTCTTGCGCAGTCGTTTCATATTCATCACTACTTTCACTCAAGTCACAGAGGTCGCCTCCCCATCATCTGATGGAACGATATAGTCGTCCTCTTCACTGAAATCGTCATCACTTTCAATTACATCACGCAGAGAGTTACATAAAACGAGCGTGGCTGGAACGTGGCTCTAACCGTTGTGCCACCGAAGTTGAAATTTGCGCACTCTTCCGTTGCGCAAAAAAACATACAACATAGAACATGTCTCTTTTTTTTTTTTAGGACTAGTTGTGCCCTCCATAAGAAGAAACTCAAACCCTTTCAAGAGTGATGTGATTGAAGTGTTTTCCAAGAGATGGCGCCACCAATCCAGCAAAGAGAGCGAAGGAGCATGTTTAAAAGGACGCGGGAATGCGTGTCGGGCGACGCCCGACTCCTGACCGGAAGCGCATTTCTCCTGTGTCGGGCCTCGCCCGACAGATGACCACAAAGGGTTAAAGGCGAGTTTCCCAACTGAGTGTTTTAGTAACGTTGGCCGGAGTCAAGGCAGAGAGGAATCAAAATTGTTTGGCAGGGAGATACGAGCAAACAAAACGGAACTTGTCATAGAATGTAGGACGGATGCTGCGTTCGGCCAGCGGGAAGTTAGTCCGCCTCGAAAGGGCAACGGACGTCTCCGCCGCCGCTGAGGAATTTGACCCGTACGGCACAGCGGTACGAAAGCAAACGTTTGTCTGTGTTTTTCGCTTCGTACCTCGAGCCCCCCGAGGAGCAACTGTTTTGCACATTGTCATCGACCCAAAAAGTACGAACGACGCTTTTCGCGCAGGGCGCCATTCGGCCTTCGTACGACGCTGGAGATGCACCTCCGTTTCTCCGCAGTGCGGCCCACTCCCCGTCGGATAGTGCACGATCCAGGCACATCCTTTTCCGTTCGTTTCTCATTTTGCCGCCTTTCTGCATTGCAGAACACTGTCCCGTGCGTCGTGAATCTTTCTAGAGGCCTTTGCTCGTCACTGGAAGAACTACGAGCGCAGCTAAACTCCGTTTCACGTTAAGTACGACTGCAGCCAATGCTACGATCCGATGGAACCAATCGAGCAGTGCCAGAAGCGCATCGTCACCGAGCTCGTCGTCTTTGTGCGTCTGCTATCACTGGCTCAACCCATCACGTGCATGAAAAAGCGCAGGATCACGCCGCATTCACTCCACGAAATAGGTTTTGCCGGGGATGGCAAGTGCACAAGGACGGAGAGCTCCGCAAGGGTGCACTTTCCACGCCACTGAACCAACTTCATCAGATCGTGTCGTTGGCTGCGGTCGAACTCGGAGTGAAACGGAGCGTGGTGGAAGCCCCGTACCTGCACCAGAAGCGTTTCCAGGTGGCGGCGGTGGCGGCGGTGAGCACCCAGGAAGACAGTGCAACGCAGGCTCCCAGAAAGGCCACCAGGTGGAGCTGGAGCATCGCGAGGCTGGGCCGAGAGCCGGGGTCGCAGCTCTGGGGTTCCTCCGGCAGGAACCGCTGGGCCGCACCCACATTGGCACGGCAGCTGCAACACCCGACGCCACAACGCTGAGGAAAAAACCCGGGGAGGGGGATTTCTTGCTTCCGGGGGCATTGGATGCAACCAAAGGACTCTGCCAAGTAGAGTGCTTAGATTGTGTGTCCCACTCTTGTGTCTATAGCGTCCTGTTCTGCCCGTGCATCCAAAGTGTCCCGAAATGGCAAGAAATGACATCGCAAGAATGTCATGCTGTCGGCGGGGCCAAATCAAGAGTAACCGGAGCCCAGTTTGAAAAAAAAAATGGGGGGGCCTGTCTATCTCGCAACTCGTCACTTTTGTTGCATTAATTTCAAAGAAAAAATATTGATATACCTCCGTAATTAATTTTTGCATTATGCTTCAGCTTTTATAAGGGTGTGTTAACATACATAAATATTTCTGTAAAACTTACCCACTTTTTGTTTTATGCCAAGTACCATTACAAATATAACAGAAGCTTATATTACTTCTCGCCTCGAGCATAAAAAGCATCCATTTTTTGATAATATCTTACTTTATCAGCATATTTCTTTAGAGAAAGGCAATGTATTTAGATTATCTGCTAACTTGAGTGCTCCTTATTAAGTTTGAGTCAGGTACCGGTACTTCTTTTAATATATTACAATCAAAAACTCTTTTACTGACTTTACCAGTGAAATGAAAACAACATTCAAAGATGCCATCTTTGTTCGACGCTGTATACGCAAGCAAAAGCTATGACTTATCAAACAAGTTAGGAAATGAGGCGACAAAGTCTAGTGGAACTGTTCCAAAATATCCTACTTAAATACTATCTCACAGGAGATTCAGGAAGGAGCCATTAGTGCCGATTAACATGTTCACATCTCTCTAGATGAGTGGTTCTCAAATGGGGGTCCGCAGACCCTTTGGGGTCAGCAAAGTCATTCTAGGGGTCCGCGAAGCCCTGCCTCATCAGTAAAACCCAGCAATAAAAGCTGTCTTTTTTTAGATCGAGAAATGTTTCAGCTTTCGGGCGAATTTACTCGTATGTATGTCAATAAGAGAAGTCTACTTCACACTAGCCCTTAGTCATGTTCATTTATTAAATCATTATCATATTTAACCTATACCTTTCCCCTCCCTCTGCTACGAACGGGGTCTTCCATCAACCCGGCTGATCCACAAGGGGTCCACGAAACATCGATGTTTGAGAACTATTGCTCTAGATAAAACTATTTCCAACAAAAAAATTTGAATGCTACAAAAAAAAAGACATTCTGCCACGACTGAATAGCGTCGTAGGTCATAACCCTAAAGAATATAAAACTATGTTCAATATCTTTAATGGAACATCACACCAAGGTACATTATAAAACTTAGGAGTATATCTATTAGGTAGTTTTTTAAATGTTTATTGAGATATGGTTAGTAATAAAACCTTGTGTTTAATAGAACATAGTGCAAATAAATGCTTGTTTCAAAGTGTCATTTGTTGCAGGGAAATGGTATCTTCGCTCGCTCTACGAGAGACAAATTAGATCTCGCTCCCATGGTGACCGAAATCGGACCCCCGGAGAACCGTGCACCCAAAGTGAGGGAAAGGAGGGAGCAGCGAAAACATTCCAAACTCACGCCACATAGTTTCGGAGGCTCTCCGTCCACACTGGCTGGCTCTTGAACTCGTAGATGTGGCAGACGAAGGTGCACGACACTAAAAGCACCATGGTGACAACAAACAGACCTGGCAGACATAAAAAGAATTGGAGGACGCTTCAGCTTCGCCTATAAGAGTGGAATGCGATAGCTAAACAGATAAGCACATAAGCACCCGCTCACTCCCAAGCCGTGCAAGCATCTCTGTGTGGCCTAGTCAGAAGCGTGTCTGGCTCGCAACCAAAAGGTCGTGGGTTCGAATCCCGTCTAAAATTCTTAAAATTTTTCTTTGAGGCAAAAGAATTACTATATAGGGTGAAATCATTTGAGACATGCTGCGACCTTTAATTTGCATTACATGTCATGTTTGTTAATCACTTTCATTCCACACAAGACGTCACATTTCACGTGAGCATTGTGGGTTGTTAGAAATTCCTGCGCGAGGCCATGCGGCCCTATGGCCCTGGTTGGTTGATAGGCCTTGACCCTATCAACCAACCAGGGTTTTAGCATCATGTCGCCGACGCCGGCTTTTCTGAGACACAAGCTCTTTAAAGCTATCGTGTTAAAAGTCATGTGAGGACACTTACGCACGTGCCCTGTCAGCGTCAGGGTGATTTGGAGTAAAAGCATCCAGTTACCCCACCTTGAACCGTAGACCACTCGGCTAAAACTATACTTCGTTCCCCCTTAAGTCCAACTGTAGATGAAACTACAAGAGTGAGCTTCAGGTTCCAGCATTCCTGCCAAGCACGCGACCTCGTGCAGTGCTAGCATCATTTGGGGCCAGTGTTCGGAGCTTGGGCTTTGTTCGCATATAAAGTGAAACAAACCATAGTAATGCCCAAACCCCTCTGCTCTGCATACTTCACTCCGTTCCAGCATAACCTGGCAAAGGGCAGATGCAATGCCCCCTACGAGTCAATCAAAGAAATGGGGTGAAGTGGGTGACAACTCTCCACAGGGGGGAGTGCACTTCAATACCACATTCCAACGTGCCTCCTTCCGGCTCAGTGATTAGCTAGGTGGAGTCATAGCTTCCACTGTTTGCCAAGTTACCTTGAAATGAAGAATAGATAAGCCATGTAAGGTAAGTAATATGGAAGCTACTCAGACCTCAATGTTAGTCCACTCATATTAGACTTAAAACTCATTCCACACATTATGTATCAAACTGAAATAAGAACCAAAATTAGAAAAGGGTAAATATTAAAGAAAAAAGAATAGTCTGCACCCATCAATACAAATAAAATAGAAAAAGAAATAAAGCTAACTTTGCAGCTTTATGTTGATGATTCCACAGCAATAATATGCCGTAATTGTTTCTTCAGAAAGACAGAAATTTGACTTGGCTCATCCTGTCTTTCATCTGGTTTCTGAAGTCACAACAATTGATTTTGCGCTTTGCACGTGGACAGAAAATAGATTTGGTGGGAAAAGGCACTATCTTTGCATATAAAATTATTGAAAAGGTACATTTAACTTCGACCATTATGATGTGCCAAATCACCATATCCAAAATGCTAAAAAATCTACGCTGTAGCTAGGTCCGCCATGCTGAGATACAATGGCGCATTCAAGGGGCAGCCATCATTAAAGGAGCTGTGCAACGATATTCAATTGAAATGTTTTTCACTTGACACGAGCTTACTGGCACACCTGGGACTCAAGGATACTCGCACGCAACGCCACTGGCCAAGAAACTCCTTTGTTGCGGTGTAATTTCAAGGACAAAAGCGATCACTTTCATTCAATCTCTCCTTCGAAAAATTTGGTGACGTACCGTGGGGATCGCAGTACACCCAAGTGACGATGTTTGAATGCGGTTCATAGATTGGTCCCGAGCATTGCGTGGGCACTCGACTTGGGCTCGTGATAATCGCTACCTCGGGTAGTGACCCGTGTCCAATCGCTGCAACGACGACAACAGCCGAGCCATAACAATGTCTGGAACTCAGCGCGTGTCCTGCGCTTTGCCAACCCCAGCGCGTGGCTATGATCAACACTGGCGGCATATAATCGGCTTCAGATCACGTGGCCGCTTGTACTAGCTGCGAGTTGAGGGGGTGAACGCTGCTCGTTTGTCTTTAATTTTTTTCTGGGACTTCTATTGCGTGGGGTGAAAAACGAACGCGTGTTTCATAAGTCATTAACGTTAGGGATCGGTTTTAAGCGGTATTTGCGCAAAGTACAAAAATTGTTGCATCGCTCCTTTAAAGATTGCTGACAGCACGTTTGGCTCAGAAAAAAAGGACATACCGATCCTGAGTATCATGCTTTGGATCTTGGTGCGAACTCTGTCGTTGAGCACGTCACTGTTGCTCACTTTCAGGGTTATCAGCTTGTAGAACTCTACAAAAGAAGAGGCACGTTCAAAATCAACCGTAAGGATGGCACGCAAAGCTTTATTGCAAGTTGCTGCGAGGATATATCACATATCAAGACCTTTCATGATGTTCATTATTCCAGTTTTTATTTAAAAGACGCACGAGCAAAAAGAAGTTTTTCTATCCCCCAAACAATGTTTGAACTCGTCATGAAAATGTTAGTTTAACAATTCCAGCGTTTGTGGTTACTAGGATAGGCCAAACTTTTGCCGAATGAAAACTTCAGGGCCGAATCTTGGGATTCGGCAGCAAATTTTTGATTCAGCAAAAGTTTTCGATTTGGCCTAATTTTTGTCGAATTTTTCTAAACATTTGGCAAAGATTCAGCAAAAATACATTGTTGCCAGACCTAAAAGTGAATATATTGTTTTATTGTGCAAAAAAAGATTTTAGCTTTTTTTTTTTTTTAAATACATTTTGATACAGTTATTTCTAAATAAGGTGATATTCTACAAGATAATTGTATCGGTGTCATTTGTGTGTTTAAAGGTATGTATTTTCAAAGTGACTTTTTGCAGAAGTGGTGTGACAAAGAGGTTGGGTAGTAGCGGGCGCAATGAGTGCAGTCATGATACTTGAGTTTCAGTTTGAGGCCTCATCAGTGCAAGCCTGCAAGTATGTATTGTTGAAATAAAGGCGCTAACACTGTGTTCTATACTTTCTCTGTAAGACACCATTTCGTGCGAGAGAATGAATGAAACGGCTGCTGAGCCTTCACCAGACGAGAGAACAATATTATTTTAAATATGCATATTTTTCGATTTGAGTCACTTCAGCTTTGCATGAAAGTGTGCGTCCCATATTCACAGTGTCTCACTTTTAACTTTGGAAATGCCGGTTTCTGACATTAGGACGCACGCAGACGTCTAGGAAGATGGGAAGATTTTGGGGTGTCGGATGTGCAACGTCGAGCATGATAGTTCTGTGTTTAGTTTTATGCGGAAAAATGAAAACCGCAAAATAAGACAAATTGAAATTTGTGTTACTTTTCTTTCGGCGGGCTATGCACGCCAGAAGAGAGAATAAACTTGTTGAGAGTTGAACGCTGTCCGTGTCTGACGTGTTTTTGTGTGTCCCTTGTCTCCTTTTGCATTCACATACCAAGAGGAATATTATTTTGTTTTGGCACAAACTACTTATGAGCCAAAAATAGGATTGCTATAATGGCGAGGAGTGCTTTAAAGTACTTGTCAGTCAATGTTGCAACTACTTCATGCATCACTGGAATTATTAAAAATGAAAATCATGTTATCCCGAATGTACCGCACTGTTTGTCACTTGCGCAGTGAACTGCGTCGTTTTTGCGCCAATTTCTGGTCGATCTTCTGTTCTTGACGCCGAAAACATTGAAGAGAACCACACTTACTCACAAAGACTGACAAACACAGTTACCATGTCGCCTACTCCGCACCTCGCCGTAACTGCACTGTCGTGCAGCGTCCATTAGCAATCCATGGCCCCGTTGCGTTCTCACATGTGCGCAGACGTTCGCCTAATTTTTGCCTATTCTTTGCCGAATCTTTGCTGAACTTTCCTTCAAAAGTTTGGCATGTGCCAAACGAGTCTGAAGTTTGGCAGAATCGGTTTATCACTAGTGGTTACATTTGCAACAGTAATAATGCAATTTTTTAGCATTCTTTTAGCCAAGACTTGCATCTCACGGGAACAAATACCACAAACCGTGCACGCAGCAGATTTATGTTTTATGGTGCAATAAACATGTGAAAACCCGCTCCAAACTTGCCTGCCACAGGAACCAATATTGCGTGCGCAGATCGCGGACAAAAACGCAAAAATTTGCTACAGAATAGTATGTTACGGGAACAAATACCACGGATCGCAAATGCAGCACAGTTGCATTTCATGATCTGGTATACACGCGGGACCAACTTGAGTAGAATCAAGATGGCGCATCCGGATCGCGGGCAAAAACGCAAGAATGCGCTACAAACTTTATGTCACGAGAACGGATATCGCAGATTGTGGATGCAGCAGATTCACATTTCACGGTGCAACATACACACAGGAAAAACTCGCGTGTTACGGGAGCCAGTATCACACGCACAGATCGTGGACAAAAACATGGGAACCCGCTATGAACTCGCCTGTCAGACATGCTGGCACAGCAAATTGCGTGCTTGATGCGATTCCCATCGGATATCGCGTGACGTTCGACGGGAATCGGGGGGAGGGCGATGTTTCGGAATTTTTACGTTACAGATATTAAGCCAGAAAAACGAGAAGGCAATCTCTCGGGGGCGAGCATTCTCTCAGAACTTCACGGTAATTCTTTTATTGTCAAGACTATTTAAGAATGGAACAAGCTGTCAGAGAAACAAGTGTGGTAAGAAACCGAAGAATGTTTTTTTGTTTTTTTTTCCACGCCCGTAACTTTTTTGCAATAATGCCACCAGGCAATGCAAAGTAATTCTTGAACAAAAAATAAAGAATGAATAAAGTTGTTATCTCTGATCTCGAAGTCTCTGTTGATTGCAATTATTGACAATAAGCATGCTCCACGGAAAGGTGATAACACATGCCTTGTTGGTAAACAGTGCGTCTACATATTACTTAATTAAACACAGTGACTTAACAGTAGAGAGTAGTCCAGGGTTCCACATAATTTTTTATGCAAAAAATTCAAGGACTTTTTTAGCGATTTCAAGGGCATCAGAAGACATAATTTCAAGGCAACACAAAGCAAAAATGGTGAAGATACGGGACACCTTGGATTAGATTGAAGCGCCCTTTAAAATGGGCGCATGTTGCATGACGCAACCATGTTGACGATTCACGCAAGTGTTGGCGGCTTCACAACGAAAAATGTGAGATGCAATTCTAGCCTGATTAAAATTGTCAGATATGTCTTCTGTTGTGGGTTGCATAGACTCCACCATGAGCCCCTCAATGGGGCCCAGTAACATAACACGGCACACCACAAGACCGCAATGCCAACCATGTGAACACCAGCTCTCTGCACTCACTATACCTTCCCAAGCCTTTACCTCTCGCTTGACGCTCTGGGAATGTGCCCTCCGCATTCCCAGACAACTCTCCCTGTGTTCCAAACTGTGTTCTCATGCCGTGCCTGCTGCTTACTTCACTTTGCGGACCAGACCGCCTTTGCCTCGAGCCCTGTAAACATCTAATCCTCTAAACTCGTCAATGAAGTTCCTAATTATTACCTCTACGCCCGGCCACAGCCCTGCCTCACACCGTGCACGGATCAGGCACATTTAGAAGCATAAACAATGTATTTTCTATAGGCCAAAGTCTGTTGGCAATGCATCTAGCAGCAAACGAAAGTATGCCACCATGTTGGTTGTTGGCAACCAGGCGAACACTTTTCTCCAACAATATTGTTGCACGCTACAAGGCACCGCCACTCAACGCATCGTCGTGGCACAGATGAATAAAGAGAAGCGAAATGTATCCCCGTTCATGTAAATCAACAACGTTTACAGAAAGAGCACCCTTCTCTTTTATTTTTGTAATGTTATTTGACTGTTTGCACTCGGGAGTCCATGCTTCCAGATACGCTTTTCGTGAGCAAACTTCCCAAACCGCCGTGATTCACAAAATTATGTTCATTCTCAAATTTTCAAGGCATGCAAGGAGCGTGGGAAGTTTCAAGGAAATTTAAGGGCCCTTAAACGGCTTTTATTGAAATCCCGGGTATTAAAGGATTTCAAGCAGCTGTACAAACCCTGGTAGTCTTCTAGCAGTTGTGTCAATGTGTCGCAAAATACGTACTGGCAGTACTTCCGAACCTGTACCCACCCAGCAACTTTAATGCAAAACGAACGTCAGAAGATCACAAGTCAGACAATTGGTGGTACTTACATGACAATCCACTGGAAAGCACAGACACAAAGCAAGAAAGTGAGTGTTAATGAGAGCTAATATCAAAGGTATTCAACAAAACTGAACAAATCCTGAGCAATCAATAACAATCGAATACTGCAACCTGGTAAGAGTGAAAGGTAAAAAGCTGCCTCTAGTTTATTGCTTCCTCCTGCACCCTCGTCAGAGCCAGCAATCACAGTCACTTCCAATCGTAACCCAAAACACAGGTTTTAGGTTCACTCCCGATCTCCCGTAACTACGCTTAGCCACAGTGACTCAACGAAACATACACCTTGGAATGTATATCAAGATGTGCGCACAATGGGGTGAAAGAAGGAAATAAATAAATTTCAAAAGAGTTCTCGCGGCATCTATAAACTGAAAACCAGCCATTATTTTTCTTCTTTCGAGCTGCCCCCTTCTTTATGCGAGGTTCTGATATGTATTTTTCTTCATGCAAGCTCGTACTAATGCTATTTATGCGCATACAAAAAACCTCTACATAAAGACTAGTCAAAACAAAAAGATTGGGCTTTGCGATTTGTTACTGCACCGAAACACGCTGCTCACACTATATGGTAGTTCTAAAAGCTGCTTTGAAAACATACTTGCACTACAGTCTACACTCTTCATCCAAAATTTGAAGTTTGTTTTTCCCGAAACAGGTGGATGACAATTTTTTGCGATTGGTTTTCCCATTCAATGGACAAGGTACACCAAGCTACGACCGGTTGCCACCGAGAAGGCTATATAGAGAATAGCTGGAGGAGGGGCCGAAGCCTGGAGCACCTTCTGTCGTTAGCAAGCTGGCAGGGCACCTCCGTTATGGCAGTTCCTCATTTAGCCTCTTTGGTCGCCACCGACCCGTCTGCTACAGAGCTCGGGTGCCAAACGTACGACCTCATAATTCTAAGGTAGTCTACAACTTTCTAACTAAAATCTGATGTGGGGAACACTGGCAAAAGATAGAAAACATGCACAAGGGAACACGGTCAGAAAGAGTGCACGGCACGAAGTAGGAAGAGAGACACGCACCTCGGACAAGAAAGTAGCCACCGACAAAGAAGGCGACGGTGACGGGCAAGAGCACAAACGCAGACCGGACAATGGGGTTGGCGGACGTGACAAAGCAGATGCCTGAAACGGGGTCCCCGTCCACCTGCACGCAGTTGCCAGAGGCGGCAAGCCAGCAGACGCCACAAAGGCCGTCAACACAACACAAGGTAGCACGGGCACCTGGTCTCGGGAACGGACAAATAAAATGTTATTGTCACTGGCAGTTCTGTTGATTACGCTACATGGTGCGCGGAACGGATCTCTGACCGGTGTGTTTAGCATCCCATTCTGCCCGTGCATCGAAAGTGGCCCCAAAATGGCAGCAAATTACATAAAAAAAGCAGGAATGTTATGCCGTCGGATGTCATTATCCTGGCAGTTGGTCGTAGATCTGGTAAAAAACTTGGGCAAACACGAGTGTCGCCGTCCTCGCGGTGTCTGAACTCCCGGCTTCCGAAGCTTCTGGCACTGTGGAGATGGAGAGCAATCTGCAGCGGAACAGCTGTCCCCCACATCCGCCGTCGCTGCTGTGACGCCGCCAAGATCGCAACTGGCAACGGCGTGACACTTTGACGACGTCGTCCGGCAGAAATCGAGGGACCACCTTTTTGGATGCATTAAACACATCAGTTAAAGATGCGTTCCAGGCACCATTCATAATTACGCTATTGAGTTTCCGTGCACAGACTTGGTAGCGTCAGTCGCAGTTTGAATACCACCTCTCTGTCCCCAGACGGTCGTGGGCTGCCATAAACAAATTTAAACTCCAATCAGCGCATATACAGTGGAATCCACTTATAATGATACCTTATATAACAATGTACCGCTTATAACAATCAGTTTCTAGACTTTGTAGACTTGAAACAATCAGTTTCTAGTCCAGGTACAACGATAATCGGTTATAACGGTTGAATTTTCGGGGGTTTTCAGCATCGTTATATGTGGATTGCACAGTGCTACCGTATAGCTTGTAAAAGATGTGAAAAGATGACGACAAGCCAGAAGAATGGCAAGCTTCGCGCTCATGAGAGAAGTAATTTTGATCCCGGCACTAGTACACCGTGTGTGACTTTCAAGTCACAGAAAAAGCAAGCTCCAAGTTCTTGAAGTTTCTCCATGGCGTCAATCGTGTCACCGAGATAGAGTGCAACACTTCCCAGTTTTGAAAAGCTTTACCGGCCTCGGCCATCTCTCTGATCAACCCATCACGGCAGCCATGTCGAGAGAGCCGGCTACTGCAGCGCAGGCATCGCCATATCCAATTCTCCCAGGATCGCAATGTCATCGAGCAGATATCGAGAGGAAAAAGAAAGACACTAGTCGCAGATGGATATCAGGCACCTCACCCATAGAGTTAATGTAATAATCTAGAGGAAAAGGTCCAGTGCATTTCGGCCACTTTGGAACGGCTGACACAGACGCAGACGTCGGTGGTCCTGATGGAACTATATTGCTGGCGACGCTATGATATACGCATTGAAGCAGGAAAACAACGCTTGCAAAGTCTGTATATAGTATTTCTTTTTTTTTTTTAGCCTTATTTTTCACGAAATTACTGGCATCACGCATTGTATACAACTAAATAGAAGTTGACGAGCACTCTAACAACTTCAACTTATTGCAGCAAAACGAACATGCCTAACCTATTGTCTGCTTTCTTTCTCCGCTCTACCGTAGCTCTCTTTCAGATTCTTTCTGACGGGACCACCGATATCAGAGCATCCGATTTGCCGCGTTCTGCTCCCCTCTTTATCCCTCGATCTCGCCTAAACTAAACTGACACACGTCGGAAGCGTTGGAAGACCAAGACTGCAACAGGTGCAGGAACACAGAGAGAGTGACTTGCCTTTCCCAGGGCCATGACAGTGATGGTGAGCACGAAGGGCACGCACCAGGCGATGAGGTGGAAGTAGGCCGCCTTTGCGTCCAGGGACTCTCTGGGCACACTGGCCCTCGTCTGGAAGCGGTGGTCCCAGGCGTACGTGAGCATCACGAACCAGCACAGGGCCGCCAGCAGGAAGTAGTACACCAGGCAGAAGATCACCACGCACGACAGGTTCTCGCCAGAGCTGCATGCAATGAGGCCGAGGTCAACTAAGCCAAACGCCGCGGCTGTAAACACTGCAAGGTCCAAATGATTTTCAAGTCGACAAGGAAGAACAGTGGAAGTTCCATGCAGCAGTCTCTTTTCGACTAATCATTTTGATTCGAACGAGATCAGCCTTCGACAGTCATAACACGAAGGGTTCCCCATATGGTTGCCCTTTTCTGGCAGATCATAGCATTGTGTACTTTAGAAGCGAGGTTTACAATGTTTAACTGACCTCGGTTGTAGCGTAAGACAGTTTGTTATACGGACAGGGATCCGAGCAACTTGCAGAAGAGAAGAAATGCAGCAAAGTTAGGGGAACTGCCAATGCTGTGAAGGACAGTTATGCAAAATTAACTATGCTAATCAATTACATGTTAATTATGCAGAGTTAATAAGTGAATTATGCAAACATACCCATCTCTTGTCTGAACACTAAATTTAGTGACATACAGCTTTAAGCATTTGTCACTACCCCCTTTGTGTAAAAGCTATATTTATAAAAAGAAAAAGAAGCTAAACCTACAGAAGCAGTTTAGCAAACCTTACACCGAACCTACAAGGGCTACGCAAACACTGAGCAGATCAAAACAACCATGCACCTTCCTACTTCAGGCCCCACCCTGAAGTCTAGAATGAGCGCACATCGAGACTTCGCTTTCAAAATGAGCAACGTTTTACGAGACTCTGCTCGACACGCAACACATTGCAGTCCCCGTTAAATAAAAACTGAAACCTGAACATCTACAAGCAGTGTTATAGCTTGGGCATCCGCGTCTTCCCTCGTCGTTTTTGCGGAGAAAAAGAATGAATGGAGCGAGATGTTGGGAAGAAAGTTGGCAGCAAGGCACCTGGGCTCGCCGCTCCGCAGAGTCCCGTCCCTCCGGCAGGTGATGTCCTCGCGAGCCCCGGGCACAAACTGTGCCAGCCAGCCAACGCACATGAGCAGCAGGCACAGGTTGATGTAGAACACCATGACGTTGGGGTACTGCCTTGACTCCTTCCAGCCAATCATGAAGGTCAGCTGCACAGGACGTTGTCACGTCAGCTATGCACTCCACACAAGCACCAGCCTTTTTTTGTTCCCCTCTTCCAGTATAATGTCACAGGCTGCCAGGGGCATACGATCCGTAACCGTACGGTCTCTTAGCAATGACGACAACGAAAGCTAGTGAGCCTGTTATCTAGCTGTACCTGGCACCTTCAAAATTTACAACTTAAAGGGGAGTGCAATGATTTCCAAACTTCAGTCAAAGTTTGTGCAAGTTGCCCTCTGACACTTCTGAAGTAAAGAACAGAAAACCAATTTCGCCTGCGTGTCCTAGTTGTTGCGTAAAAAAAAGATAAATATTCACATTTCTGGCACCCCTCAGCTCACTCCCAGCCTTCAGGGTCACACATGATCCCCTCCTAGTGACGTAATTCGGGGTGCCGTGTAGGTTTCCGTGTGCTCTCTCGGAGGACGCTTCCTCTCCCTCTCTCTGCTGAGATTAGGGGGCGTTATGCTGCAGCTTAGAGCCGAGCAAGGTCACGTAAGCTCCTCGCCGTAGTTCCTTCGGCTGCCACTTGCAACTGCAGGTGGGGGAAAAAGCTAGACTTTTGCTTTGCAATTATGCAGCGGAATTGCGACATTTTTAATGAAGGAGATGTTTTCTCTATCCTCCAGGACACGGTAAACAACGTAAAAATGACGAGATGCCAATTCTTTTAATCTTAAAATCATTGCACCCCCCCTTTAAAGGGAAGCAATTTTGTATTTGATACAAAACATGTAATTTGGCCTCCGAGATCACGAACATTAAAATTACTTCTTAATTTGACCCGCGGGGTAACCACCAAAGTGTTTTCAAAACAGCACCAAAGGCTCTCTTCCCTGGCATAATCAATGCGAGGAGGACGTCTGAGAAAGAGTGTAACCTCATCCCCACAGCCTTTCCCCAGTGGTCGACGATACGTCTGTGGTTCACCTTTCTGCTACCATCATTGGCTCGCCCGCTTGTTAAAGAATTAATTTTTACTTTGTGCTTATTATTTTTTTTTACTTTATGGCTGCACTTTATGGCTGCACCGTAGTTTCGTGACCTTGCCCAACTTCTATGGAGGTGGCCTCACAGGTAACCATACGAAAGCTCACCGGACAGAAACTCACTGGACAAAAGTCCACCCGTTTTTTCATAAAACCAAAGTCTCACCGCTTTTTTTTTTTTGGCTACCTGGGCAAAACATGGGCTGAGAAACAGTGTGGACACAATGGCCATTGCACCATTTTTAGGAGAACTTGTAACCCATCCTAAGTAAGCCATAACAGGCACAGAAACAATGATTTGGGACCAAACTTCAGTCCACCGAAACTGAGTGGAGCTGATAAGATCAAGTTTGGTTGACCCTTGTGCAACACCCAACAAACTTCGTGAACCGAAGTTTCTGAGCCCGAAGAAGCAAGGTCACCCTTTGGTGACCTCGCTTCTTCATTGCGCTTATGTCATGCCAAACAAACACATAAAGGTTAGGCAGAATGTCTCTTCATTACTAATGCATGGGTTTTCTTGGGGTTCAGAGTAATATTTGAAATGAATGGCTAAGAAAAATTAAATTGTTTCCGTCACTGCGCGTCGTAAATGTATTTGAAATCGAGGATTATCTCAGGGTGATGTGAAAGGGAAACTGAAGCAAAACTGTATTAAACAAACTACTGAGTTGCGAATTTTTTTTTAATATTTTACATGTATGAAAGTTGGGCTTTTTAGACAAGTACACTGAACTACTTTGATGGCATGTATATCAACGGCCCCTTCCGTGATACTTCCATTCCTTGTGCTGCAGCACACAGAGCGATTTCTTTGCTTTGCCTGACTGTGCGACGACGACGACTGGAGTTTCCCCCGGAATGGTGGAATCTGTACGACGTCACTTTTCAAGGTAAAGACAGGTCAGACAACACCTGCGAAGGATGCAATAACGGGTTCCAGAAGCTTGTCGGCCATGCCCATCCAAGCGTCTGGAGGCTGACTGAATGCCTACAGCAAGATCAGGCGCTCTTTGCCACGGCATTTACACAAGCCCGGAGAAGTGAGCCCACAGTGAAGTGGGTGCAAGAAACCACTCTGCGCCTGCAGAACCGTCTGAAAAATATTTGCGACTGCATTTGCTTCTAACCAATTGATAATTAAACTTGTTTTCACTCCAATCAACACACCATGTGCCTGTCAGATTTAATTTATTGTTGCATTTTAGTGTCGCATGCATGCACCTAAATTGTCCGCAATCATGTTAAAACCAAGATTAAACTGTCTCCTCGCGAGCTTTTGTCTGGGCCTGTGAAAAAATAGGTGAGTTTTTAAACGAGATTCGGCCTCACAACGGCGTCGCCAGCTGTGGTGAAGTGCGTGGGCATTCCCACGCCTCAGGCACTTATCAAAGCTGCGCACGAGTGCTCTTCGCTTCTCTAGGAATGCAACGTAAAGTGGTCCTTGAGCATACACAATTGCGAGCATGGTGTCCAACTGGTGCCCCAGGCATGCGGGCACTCATGTGAGTTTCACTTAAGCATTCTCGCAGTTCTACACATTTGCCTCCACGAGTTATAGCCGGGCAGCCAAAAGCTCTGGAATTAACCTCACTCATTGTCTGGCAGTTATTTTCGCGCTTCTTTTCCCTCACATTTCGCAATTTGTCGAGGGAATCTGACAATCATTTGGTTGTCGTATTCAGATTACACGGGACAAAGATATGATTTCTCCTCAAGTTAATCTCTTTTTTGGGAACTCCTCATATACAGTCACTGACAGGATAAGAGTGGGGTGGGGGGGGGGGGGGGGGGGGGGGAGTGAAGGGGATTTTTGGTTGTCCTACCTCCAGTACGCGCTTCCTGCCTTCGGTAAGGGCAACTAGCGAGTCTTGATGGTGCAAGTGCAGCCAAAGCACCGTGAAAGGCAGCGAGCACGCACTAGAAGTCAGGCGTTCGAAAGAGATACCCTCTCATCCTGCGGGCAACCATAGCAGCGGGCGGACAGGAGTGTGGGGGGGGGGGGGGGGGCCACGCACCACGGCAAAGAGGCTGGTGAGGGTGGCGATGGAGGACACCACCACGACGAAGGTGCGCATGCCGAGCCGCTCGTCCTCGGTGAGCAGCGGGTGGCGGCAGCCTACGCCGCAGCCTTCCACCTCCGCGTACCAGCTCGTCTCCCTCGGGGTCGCCACCAGGGGAGCCGCACAGCGCCCGCTTGTGTTGAACTTGATCTCGCGCATCTCATTCTGGAGCAGGAGGCGGCAAACGTACCGTCTGAACTCAAAGCACGTACACCATAGCAGAGGTGTGGTTAAGCTGGTGCTCGAGGGCTTGTGTTTCAAAGAGAGGTGCCACAAACCTCTTTAGAAACCAAAGTCTCGAGATTCAGGAGTTCCAAAAGGTTGAAAATTTATAAAATTCTACGATTTTCTAACTTTTAAAAGGATTTCACTAAAGATTCCACAAATATCAAGATAACCAGCCTGCAATGTTCCAAGGTTTGACAAACTTCAAAACTGTGTCTAGATAGCAAAGAGAATTCGTAATGAATCAAATGCTACTATAGGTTCCGCATTACTCCTTTTAAATTCTTAGCAAATGCTGCACATTAACGATAATCAAGATCGTACCGTGCCTTCGCATGCCTCCAAAGCCCTGTCCATTAGCCAACAATAGCGTATTCGGCTGTTTCTCGCCAGCATTGCATTTTGGTGACTTTCGATCGGATTATGTCCAGTTTGCCAAGAGGTACAAGGACGCTTGCTGGACTGCCTTAAGGGTGCTCGATAGTTCAACAACTCAGTCGTATAAAGATATTGAACTCGACACTTTTTGAGGTAATGACCTAAAGTTTAACTGGCCCCACGGGCCGCAGGAAAACAGTTAGCAAGCCACATGCTGCCCATATGTTGTGCAGCCCTGCTTTAAGGGCATTAAAGGGACGCTGAACCGAAATCTGGCTTCCACAAAACACGGCTGCAAAGGCGTGCAATGGGATGCTACAAACACGAAAACATCACTCATACTGCGATATCTCAAACAGATGACCGTATTTTCAAAAAAAGGAGGCGCATTTGACAGATATGTTTACGTCTTGTTTCTCTGAGAAGGAGCGGAAACGGCCTTGCGTCTTCTCCGCCTCGCTGCTTTGAGGGGGCGAAGCGAAGAGAGGAGGAAACGGGATATCTTGAAATCACGCGCCTCGTCGGCCTCGTTCAATCTCGACCTCTTTTTCCCAAAATACGGCCGTCTATTAGATATTTCACCTTATGAGTATATATAGTGTTGTAGGGATTGTAGCGTCCCGCCTACATCTCCTGCACTGTTTTTTTTAAATCCAAATTTCAGTTCACCATCCTTTTAAAGACATGTCTAAGAGTGTAAGTAAAGTTTGTTAAACCCAATCTGTAATTTCTCAAGACGAATTTGGAAAAAGCTTCAAAGGTAGATCAAGGAAGGTTCGGGCTTCAACATTTTAGCTGGAGTGAGGCACCCTCTACTTGAATCGCTGTGAGGTTTCTAAGTAACCTAAAACATTATTTACACCAGAAAACGTTTGTGACACTCCACCCCTATTTCTGCAAAAGTAAATGTGGTGAGTGCAAGATATCTCGAGAGGTAAAATAGAGCTAGACGGGACCGACACTTTCTAACTCTGGTTAGGACAGAGGCACACGTTTCGTGGGTCACGGTGCATTCATAGTTTTATGGTCGCCATTTCTCACAGCTCGCAGAACAGAGCACCCAAAAGGTATTCGAAGACCGGGTTCGAGTAACTTAAAACAACACATCCGTTCCAGATTTCGTCCAAATGCTAAAACAGAGATGTAGCTGACCTTGCAGCCCGAGGCGAAGATGTCGTGCTGGCACCTGAGGAAGGAGGGCCACTCCGAACCGAGGGCAACGATCTTGCAGAAGCCCCTCACCAGGCGGCACATCTCCTGGCTGGGCAGCGTGACCCGGCCGTCGGCACACTTGGGCCGGTACACGGCACACAAAAGCGGCTGCACCACAGCCCAGCAGCGGGGAATCTGCTGGAGGCCCTGCCACAGGTCCAGGCGCTCCTGCGGGCATGGGGCTGGTGTGGGTCAACAGGCTCACGGGGAAGAGAGCCAGACGCAGAAACAAAAGAAACGACACAAGCCGGCGTTCACCGTAGGCACATGTTTGTTCGGAGCATGGTGCAAGATACTAATGGGTAAGGACACACAGCACCGCGAACGCTGAAATACGATCAACTGGATGAAGTTCTTTTGGCATGCACCCAAGTATTCCGACAGCGTCTCCGTCGGCCAGAAGGCGCAACCGAGGAAAAAAACAAACAAACAAAAACAAAAAAATGTCTCATTGCCATGGCACCTGAGTGCATCCATTTTCTGCTTGGTGCGTTTGTCTTGTCCTTGATGGACGCTGGCTCGAACACCACATGAAAGATTGCTCCACTTCAAAAACTTTATAGTAGTGCTCTTGTCGCTGTTGAGGTGCGAAACTGAGGTCGGCGACAGAGCTGTGTCTAAACAACATGTATTGCACAAGTGACAAGTTCTGCACAAGATGGCACAACCAGAAAACAGCTTTAAGAACGAGCATGTTTGCCATAGAGAAGCACGGGAAATCGGGCACATGACAGTCCACCACTAGGCACCTATCGAAGAGTCATCTGATAGCACCACTAGCAACCAAGGTAAGGAAAGGACTTAACCCGACAGCTGCGTCGCATGCAGTGTCCATACCCATATATACCTCATACTGTGGTTCGGATACACAAGACAACTCGATCCCTCAACAATGCGACCTGCACTGCAAACAAGGAATGGGAAAATAACTATCAAAAAGTGATTAAATTAGATTACTAATTACTTTTCTGAAAACTGCAAAAATATAATTAAATTGCATTACGAATTACTTCAGATTAAAAGTTATTACATTACAACTACTTTCCAAGAGTAATGAAATTACTGAATTTACTTCTGGATACCTTGAGGCAGTAATTAGCGCTTTCTTTTTGGAGTATATGTACCAACACTCAGATCTACATTGGAACAGCCATATGAGCCTCAAAGTTAAGAATATTAGCAGTCGTTTGGCTGGCGCGCACGACAGAAGTATTAAACATCATGAATAACTTCTCCTTTCGATGTGACTCAAAGACAGTCAACTCACCGTTTCCACTGTTCATTGAATGGTGAAGGTCCTTAGTTAAAGGGTGACATGATTCCGCCTTCCTGATTTTGAAGAAGTTATAGACCGTGTCAGTGAGTTAAGTCAAGCCATGAAAGCTCATTAGCCTATTCCTGAATCAATATTTGCTTGTTTACTTATCCTCAAATAAACTCCCCAAGGAAAGGGAGAGTGGCCTACTGAGAGCGGAACCTGCTTTGCTCGCTTCCAGTCTTTTCAAACTACAAATAGCACCTTTACTTAACAAGGCAAAGGATATGCACAAAATGTTCTGGGGCCTTGACAAGGAATTCTGGATTATCTATTTATTTTGGTCATTTGTTGTTCACGATAGTCGAAGCTTACTGTTTGACCTTGCTCGACAAAAGAGCAAGAAGGCAGGAGATCCGCCCGTCCCGTCCTCTGAGGTTTTAAAATGTGTTTACTTCATTGGTGATATGCCCTTCACCTTGTAGCCTATAAGCCAGTCACCTTTAAGCTGACAGTGCAGTGGAAGCAACATGCTCGTCGCAATAGTCGCACATGTATCGCCACGTAACCACGCTCTCGTTCATACCCATGCGCAGAGGAGGGGTTGGGTCAGGTGATGAAAGGAAGGTGGTTAATTGGTTCCGGTGAGTTTGTAGCACCCACCGCACTGGCAGCTTAGGGATGAACAAAGTACAGTATCGTCGTGATGGTGTGACGCCATGAATCTGTCTTGCCTGAAGTTCATAAGCCGTGAACTTCTAGCCATGTTTTTACATTCTCCTTCGCCTTTCCAGCCCGCCTTCGTACGTCCGTCGTGTTCCTCGTATGAGACTTTGCACTCATATGGCTGTCTTTTATTTGCTCTGATGCCTCTTTCACAACATTATACCATGCAAAATGATTTCCATTTTTTTCTTAAAGCTTGCAAACAAACTTTCTCATTAGGGACACAAGTAATTTCAAAAGTAATGAGTAATTTTCTCGAATTACTGCCTGAAAATAATTTATTACATTACTATATTACTAGCTATCAAAGTAATTCATTACATTACTGATCACCACAACAAATATATCCATTACTGTAATTTCATTACAGTAATGTCATTACTGCCATCTCTGCTGCAAATGGTCTCATCCCACTGGCATGACAAACGCCAACTTCTGCCCACCGACAACACGAGATAGACTTTTGGGCAGTATGAGCGGTCTTCCGCAGTGCGACCTGCACTCCAACGCATTCTTCTGATCCCGGTAGCGAAGCTCTGGTGCGGGAAAGAGAGCCAACGAGATGCACTTCCCGTGACTGTAAGCGGTGTTTATGGCCAATCACTCAGGGGCTCTGTTCAAATGGAGTTGCGCTGGTCAAGCAAGAAAAGAAGGAGTCCCTTATGAACTTTGCGATACACGATAATCCACAATGGGCACGAAAGAGACTTAAGAGGAGTTAAATCTAGGTCACTGCTTATTCGATGAAGCCACCAGAATCCAGTATCGCCTTCGAAGGTTCGATAATGCGCGTGTTCCTACGAATTCATCGGTCCCTACCAAATATTCTCGAAGCTGAGTAACCAAGCGGCAAGCCACACAAAGAGTAGGTCGGGGCTCGGTATCTACCGGCTGTGTCACCCTCGGAAGACTGCTCCGTGCTCGAGGCGAAACGACGGACAAACCTGGATCTCCAGTTGCGACGTCGAGTCGTTGACGAGCTCGACGGTGGTGTGGCCGTAGGGCAGTGACACTCCGAAGCAGGTGGCGTTGATGATCGGCTCGCAGGTCGCCGCCCGGAAGCACTTCTCCGAGTTGGTCCAAGCGTGGTCCAGGGGCGTCGAATGCCTCGCCAGGAGACCCTTGGACGCACCGCGGCCCGTGTCGAGACTCAGGCGCTTCGAATCGTGACCTTGTACCGCTTCGTGCCGAGACAAACCCGCGTCAATCTCGTTGAAGCCGTGGTCAGGAGCAGCCACGCTGCTGGTCGAGGCGTTCCCGTTGTCAGCGACGCTGCCCCGTTTGAGTCGCGCGTGGGCTTTGAAAGGGTGCACGTCAACTGCCGCTGGGATAGCGTCGGCGAAGCGCACAGTGACAGCGACGCAGCAAAGCGACAGCCACAACGCCAGCATTGCGCGTGTAACCTCGGCGGGTGGAGAGCACTTCATGGCAGCGCTCAGAGCACGCGAACAACTTTCTACATCCTATCTGTAGTGGACAAAACCACGTGTTGGAAGTCAGAAGCTTCCTTACCCGGAATCTGCTAGCAACGACACAAGAACTCGCGACTACGGCTACGAAACGTTGCAGAAACGAGGCGAAGACCAGTGTCAACACACACACCCACAGCGTCACTTGAATGCGCCCGTGTGCTTTGGCACGGAGGTTTCATCGCTGATTTTGAGCGTTGTCGGTGCAGAGGTTCGTAGTCAATGCGAGCTCCAGGCTAAATTCCAGTGGGCCTAATATTATTTAACTCTTTTAACGGGCTCACCCCTAACACCGACCAAAACCCACGAACAAAAGTACCGAGGAGAGACCACCAACGTCGTTTCAAACTTGGGTACTGTTCGATTCTTACGCGATGCATGAAGAGCACAAGTTGTGTACGTCATAACTCGCATCTACACTGGCTACTCGTTCCAATAGTTCAGTGTAGGCCACATCCCTGGATCGCAGGGGGGTAAAGGTGGGTGAGGAGGAGTGGCAAATCCCGTGCGCCGACACCCGGGGTCCCGAGTGAACGATCGCAAAAGAGAGCGACAGAACACGAGAAAAAAAAAGCAACGTTGCCATGGTAAACGCGAAGAGTGAAAACTCTTAGCAATATAAACAGTGATAATTTAACATTGCAAACTAAATTCTGAGCTAATCTAACGCTTATAAAAAGCAATAAAGTCATTACGCTGCATTAACTTCCCTTCTGTCGAAATCTCAGAAATCTGGTGGTTGCGCAGTTTCGTATTCAGCTTAGTGTTAACGCGAGGCCGTACATCTGCGTGCTATGCAAAAAGAAAGATTCGAAAGGAACGTGAATATCTTTCCACCGGTAAGTTCGTTGATTGTTGAAGTTCACGAAACTGCTCTGATGATGTAACCGATGTAACCGTGTTTGGGACCCCGAGGGTCTGCCTGCATGATCCGCCGCTTGCGGCAGCCAGAATGTATGGGAAAATGGCGGACCTTTTCCTCTAGAGTTAGTATGTATAATCTCTTTACTGGATCGTGCTTCCCACTCCCGCGAGTGAAGCCACCAGACGGCCATCTTGCATGTTGAAAAATCGCGTCTTTGGAGCGTCGTGGAGGCTGGCGGCAGCGTGCTGAAAACACGTTCCCTACTCGTTTGTCGTCATTCGCCGAAGAAGCTTTTAAAAACACTGTATAAGCGGTGAGACTTTCCGTTGAGAATACAAGTAAATATTTACAAAAGCTCAGTGCCACAGGAAAAAGCCACAACTCGTTGAAAGCAAGTTTCGCCGGGCTCGCGGCGTGATCAAAGCTTCCTTATAATTAAAATGAGAACACCGACTTGACATAACAGAAAAAACAACTTCATTAGACGTTTCGCCTCCCATGCGGGAGGCATCATCAGTAGTTACACAGCAAATGCAGGGTTCAACCTAAACTCAACGCTATTTATCACGAATGTCCGTTTAAGCTTCGTGGAGAGGGCCGCGGTTTTTGTTGCACAGGGATGTGTCCCTGCGAAGAAACCACGAGTCTAGAAGCTTTCGGGGCCCCTAGCTGTCCTCTCTCGCCAAGGTCGTCGCGGCCGGAAAGTCGAAATAATGCCCCATTGTCCACGCATGGTCCACCCGTTCAGTCTTCAGTCGCGTCGCGTGGGATGCGTACGTGACGTCACGCTTGTGTTCTTTGAGTCTGGTATCTCTCCTCCGTCCGGTTTCACCAATGTAGGACGCTGGGCAGTCACTGCAGGGGATCTTGTAGATAACGCCTCTTTGGACGTTCGCCGGGGTTGGATCCTTTGGTTTGGAAACGGAATTTCCAATAGTTCTGTATGGCTTGAAAACAGTTCGGATGCCAAGGGGCCTCAAAGCGCGACTAAGAGGTTCGGAGACTCCTTTGACATAGGGGATGCACACTACATTCTTATCTCTTTCCCTTTCGCATGGTTCCACATTTTGTTTCATTTTGTTTTTGACCTCGTCAACAAAACGCCTCGGGTAGTGACGTTTCACCAAAGCTCCCTGAAAATGAGTCATCTCATTTGCACCATGGAGCTCATTAGATGACACGGTATTTGATCTCTGTACAAACGATCGCACTACTGATTTCTTGTGTTGCACTGGGTGATGGGACAAAAAATCAAAAAAATTATCTGTTTCACATGGTTTGCGGTACACCCCCGTTTCAATCCTGTGGTTCGGCTCGCCTGTCCTTATTACAGATACATCTAGGAAGGGCAATTTGCACTGCTGTTCTGCCTCGCAAGAAAACTGTATCGCGGGGTGAACACTGTTTAGCTCCCGGTGGAAATCATTAGCATGACTTTTATCTAAAATGACGAAAGTGTCATCCACATATCGGCGGTAAAATTTGACCGGGAAGTCCAGGGCCGTACCCAGAAAAAAATTTCGGGGGGGGGGGGGGGGGGGGGTTTTGGGGACAACGGCGGCCATTTTGAAAGTGTCTATTGTCTTATTTTCGCCTATGAATCATGTGCATCGGTGGCATATAATGGAGAGTTACAGCAAACCGGAGATCCGGTCCCGGTTTGGTACCCGGTAGCCGACCGGCGCCACTGCGCGTGCGCAGAGGTGGAGATTAAAATCGGCTGGCTGCCAGTGCACCGACCAGGGCCGTACACAGAAAAAAATTTCGGGGGGGTCAGAACCCCCTATCCCCCCCCCCCCCCCCCCCCCCCTGGTTACGGCCCTGCCGGGAACAGAACTTTTTTCAGAACTTTCTCCTCAATATGCTCCATAACGAGATTGGCAACACTGACGGATACCGGGCTCCCTATCGGACACCCGTTCACCTGATGATACGTCTCCCCGCGGAAGGCGAAAAAACATTGGTTTAAGCAAAAACGCAAAAGTAAAGTTATATCATCAACGTGAAGTGACGTGCGTGCTCTTAGGCTTTGATCATCAAGTAGACGCTCGCGTGCGACATCAATGGCAACATCGTTAGGAACATTAGTGAAGAGGGAAACTACATCAAAAGAAAACATGCCTTCATTCGGAAGGAGGGTCTGGGCGCGGACTAACTGAACGAATTCTTGGGAATTCTGCACACAAAGACCATTTTTCCCTGTCACCGGCGCCAGTAGCTCTACCAAATATTTTGACAGGTCGTACGTGGGGCTACCGATAAAGGATACAATCGGGCGGAGAGGACATTCTGGTTTGTGCACTTTAGGTAGGCCGTACATTTTAGGTGTGCATCCGTCGGAGGAAAAAAGGCGGCGGCACAGAGAATCATTTATCCTACCCTTCTTTCGAAGTTCCCGGAGATGATCAACTAACGACCGTTCGGTTTTCCCAGTTGGGTCGCGAGCTAGTTTGACAAAGTGTGCGGGATTACTAAGAACGTTATAGATTTTCTGGTCGTAGTCGGTCTTGTCGAGAATCACCGTTCCCCCACCCTTATCAGCACGTACAGTGCTAATCACACTTGTCTATAACGCGCGAGCGTGCGGCTTTCTCCGGGGAGCGCTAGACTGGTGGCATTCGCGGAAAGTAAGCTTGTCACGTGGCGCAACATGGAACGGCCGGCTCGAGGGGTGTCCTGCCAACTCTATCAGTTGGCGGCGAACGCGGAAGGCGGCTTGCACGCTTTTTACAAACGTCATTGCTTGAACAATAAACAAACTGAAGCATTAAGGTGTATCAACGATGTCGTCATAAAAAAATATATATATATATATCATAAAGCACTTCACTTTTATCGCTTATCAAGCTGATAGAGTGGGCAGGACACCCCTCGAGCGGGCCGTTCCATGTCGCACCACGTGACTAGCTTACTTTCCGCGAATGCCACCAGTAGCGCTCCCCGGAGAAAGCCGCACGCTCGCGCGTTATAGACAAGTGTGATTAGCACTGTACAATGACGATCGACTCATCAGCTCTCAACTCCTGCAACGCCTTGCGTTCATGCTGGTCCAGGTTTGGCTGCGGCGGCTTGGCATTGTTCAAAATGGACAACACTCGACTTCGGGCAAGGTTGACGCCAGTCTCGCTAGATATGTGGCGGAGTTTCTCCTCGATTTCGACAATGAAGTCACGCTTGGGGACGTACCGGGGTGCCATTGCAAAGTTGAGACCTTTTGAAAGAAGACTCACGTGGTGGTCCGTCAATTCCTTGAAGAGTAGTTGAACACACTCCTTTTCTCGTTCTGGGAAGTTGGTTCCGGGGGCATTACCCGTGCGAGCTTCTTGTTGTGCAGTTCTGACTGTTTGTTCTTTTCCATGTCCTCGGCCTGTTTTCGTGCGAACACCGACTTATGTCAAGTCGGTGTTCTCATTTCAATTATGACGTCTCCCGGCTTTTGGAGTATTTTTGCAAAGCTTCCTTGGCACGCCAAAGTGTTGACTCTCTGTGCCTTCGCACGCTTGGATACCGATCAAGAATCGGCGCCGCGGTAAAGTTTTGAAGGTGTGTCGGCCATATATCGGCCACTGAGTTCTGGATTGTCTAGCTGTTTCGGCGAGTTGCTATCATTAAAAGGGGGGGGGGGGGGGGATCAGTACGGTTGCTCCTATGCACTATTAACCGTGGCTATGTTCCGAATCTACTCTAATAGATAACATGGCAGCACAAATAGAGCAACGCTGGAGCAAGGAGCGTTTTCGAAGACAAAAGTACAAGACGGCGAGAACGAAAATCTTTGAAGCGCGGCCCATATGGTCGTGTGTAATATGTCGACCAATCACAATTAGCCGAGCCGCGCTCAGACGTCAAGTGCACTTAAGTAGGATTGATAATGAGCCAGCACCGATCGGTGATGAGGAGCTGTTGTGAGTGGTATATTGTGAACCTTCAAAGTCCCTGTATTGCCATATCAATAAGAAACGAACCGTTCTGCCATTTAAATACTGCATTGGAGACATAGGATTGAGCAATATGGAGCACTTTTAGTACCTCGGTGTCACGTTTTCTAGAGACCTAACCTGGACCAAGCATATCGACACCGTGTGCACATCGGCATATAAAAGCTTTGTTTTTTTTTAGACACAAATTAAAACATACAACGAAAGAAATCAAAACGGTTGCTTATAAGTAAGGCTCCGTGTTTTCGGATAAATCCCCAAAACTCCGAAAAACACCCGCCGGTAAAATTTTTGTCAATTCGGATTTATCCGATAAACTCCGAATTGTTATGTGCCCATGCCCAAACCCCCACCCCTTTTCCACAACAAAAACAACATTTTTTTTTTTTTTTTTTTTTACAGTTTGAGCAGAGCGTGACCAATGGTCCTGGGAAAAAGACACCATAATTATATTTCAAGCCTCGGACCGATGTCAATAGGGGGTGTCACGGCTTGTCTCGTCAAGGTTGGTTCAGGGAAACAGGTCATCGTGCCATTCGTGTCACGACAACAGCCACTCTTTTGGTTTCCAGTTTGGGCCATGGGA